TTTGATGCAGTCATTAATGTGTTTCTTGAACAGATACTCCTCAGGTTTCTATACTCAGATTCATTCACTGAACCCAGATATTCTCAGACTGTTGGATCTCCTCAGTTTAACCCTCGAACAGGGTCAGGACAAAGTGCCATAAAATTTACAGTTCAATAAAAATAGGCACAGTTCTTCTGCACTCAAACATCTGCTGTTTAGTGGCACCTTGGCTGAACTGCCCTTTTCATCTTCTGAGAACTAGGGTCTTTTGGGTTTTTTGTGATAAAGCTAAAAATTCATTCAAAACTAAATATTCTTAAAGTTGCAGAAGGATGGGAATAATACAAACCCAATCCAAATAAAGTCAGACAATCTTATAGGCTTGAAAAAAATAAAGCTTATAAAACTTGTTTCAACTACAAAAAGACAGCTTGCCAGCTTTGGTGAAGCTTTGTGTATTTACCAGTGAGAATCTTGGCCAGCAAGTACTAATGTAAAAGTGTTTCTAAGGGAAATATTTTGTTCTTGCTTAGAACACATAACTTAGTGATACTGCAATACAAACATTGGTGAATGTTATTTCGTGCAACTATTAGAAGGAACAGACAGAAAAAGAGAAAGTAACTACAAATTACTAACATGAGGTTGTCTCCATTCTCTAAGCACTTTCTTTAGGCCAATTTGCAACACTCTTTAAAAAGAAACTCTTTTAAAAAAGAGTTCCTCAGCCAAATGTAGATTCCAGGAATCAGTATTTGCTGTAGTTTTACACTGTAATACATGCATGCTGCTAATATGCAATACTGAACTAAATGTATCACTTTAAATAACACTGAAAGGACGGAAACAAAATTAAACATACACCTCTAATAAAAAATGTAATATTCAAAGCAAAATTTTACATGAGAGAAAAATGTATACACTCCAATAAGGGTTAATCAGCCAACCATGAGTGGAAGTACAAAAACAGGGCTTACCATGAGCTGTCCCGTGCATTTCTGAACAACAGGACAAGAATAACTGAGACCATCTTTGACACATTTTCAACTGTTGCCCACAATCCCATCACAGTGATGTTATAAACATGTATAAAGTAAGTCTAGGTAAGTCTAGCCTTTCCAGGTAATAATTCATATACATAGCAATTAGACATAAAAAGATATCTGTTAATAAATTACGCCACAATTTCTATGTCATATACCCGCATTTTAGCTAAAAAGCAAATAAAGCCAGCATAGATTACTTCTAATGCCTTTTAGACACACTCAACTATTCCTTGGCAAGAAAGTGCTCCCCACATACAGCCCTTACCCAGGAGAAGTGGGACTGAAGAAGGTGTTATGTTGCCCTGGGTCAGCCAATGTAGTTGCCATTACTCAAGTATAGACAACAGTTTAAATTACTAAGAAAATCGAAAATACTTCAATACAAATGGAAAACAGCATTTCATCACAATCTCATTTAATAGAACACATTATCAAAATTAGTTGATAGTAGAGCAAATTGTTTCAAATTGGAAAGCCACCTAAATTCTTGCTCTTAAATTAACTAAAAGAGCATTTTTGTCTGTTATATTAGCACCAAATTTTTTCAAACTTCTGTTGCAAGCTAAAAGGCAACAATGCCACAATCTCATGATACATCCCTTTTATTAGCCTACTAGAAATTAAGAAATGACATAAACTTAAAACATCTGCATTTCTTAACCTAGAACCCAAATATCAGAAAACACACAAAATTTATTAATACTTTAAATGCCAATGTTTAAATGGCATTTAAAGTTCATTGTTTTAATGGTTACATACAAAATCTAAGAGATAAGGGAAATGTCCTTTTAATAAGCTTGTACATATCACCTTAACAATAAAGGAATAATTTTTAAAATAATTTTGTTTACTAGTGTAAAAGCAGGATGTTTTTGTGAATGTCAGTGATAACATTTCTGCCTTTTAAGTTTCAAATTATTTCACATGAGAAGGAATGTATCTGTCTTAATGCTTAATAGAAAAGTTAAAAGTCTAAATTTGTGCCAGTCAACTTAGGTTGCTTTTATTGCAAGTGACAAGAAACAGGCATCTCTAAAGAAGGAATTGTCTTATCTAAAGACAGAAATAGAAAGAGGCTATGGGAATCCTCCCCTGGAAGTCTCCATCTCTCTTCACTGACTAAAGAAGCCTATGGTGACCAGCTCAGATTTATACCACCTATAGGTTTAGATGGCTAACATCATGGGAAATTAATCCCATTCTTGACACCCCTTCTCAAATAGCATTTGGGAAAGTAAGCATAAAATACAGAAAATCAGAATTACCAATAAGTGTAAGAATCAAAATACACTGTCCCAGAAAAATTAAAAAAACAAGACCCTTTTGTGAAAATAGAAGGGGATCTGTAAATTTGAAATGTCATACAGCGTTTGATCTCCAAGCCAGGACAGACTCAGTCATTTCTAGAAGATTAAGAATATACAAGGACTATTTTCAGAATATGCTGACAAAGTAATATGCCTCTTCTGTGTATGAGTAAGCAGCAATTTTTAAAAGCTTATAATTCAGTGCAATAAGGACAGATATTCAGAGGCATGGCAAAAGACACATCTTATAACCCATTAAAGCTTCCCTTTCAAATTCCAAGTCCTTGGCTCAAAAGCAAAGAAGAGGTCATAGACCTTTTTTTAGACTGCTTTTTTCCTCCATTTTCAGGAATGAAACCCCCATCTCAGAAACTTTTGCAAAGACACTCAGGCTATAGCAAAACTGTGGGCAGAACAAGTCTGCCAAATTAATCAAAGTAAAAATTCAAGAAAGCTGACATTTGAAGAGGAGAGTTCCTTGCTCCTAAGTATTTCAAAACACAAGGAAGCCCTTCAATCACACATTCATAGAAGACAGAAGGCTACATTGTGAATTCTCCCTGTACATTTGCCCAGTTTTTATATGTTTACACTGGCATCCTCTTGAAGTATGCACTGTCCCAGAATGGCCATTTGCAAGCAACTGAACACAGAGCTTATCATGAAATTCTTAGGTCACTCTCATTGATCTCTAAAAAAACTTCAGGAAGACAGCTATTTCTATTGTAGATTACTGGAGCTCACCTGCAAGAGTTTGTACCTAGTTATGGGAGATTTTTTTTCCCAAGCACAAAATGATACTAAAAATATATTATTCTTGCCATGGATCAAGTGAAAAGGATGCTATTCTTAAACATCTAAAATTCCATCATGTGACTGTTCACATCACGTGAAACCTGGTGCTAATTCAAAGCTAAAAGATAATTTCACAGGCTTAAATGTGATTTTCATAGTTACAACCACAAGTCTTTAAATATAATTTAACACATTTTAGAAAGCTTGAAAATTCTGCCATGTCTCATTTTTGCCAAAACTTAAGTAAAATACTAAACTGAATAACTAAATATTACAAAAAAGAAAAAAAATTATTGTCATAACATAAAATAGCAGAATATTTCTGATTTTCCTTACCCCCAAAATCATAGAATAACTGAGATTAGAAGGGACCTCAGAAGCTCATTGAATCTAAATCCCTGATCAAGCAGGGCCAGATGCAGCAGGCTGCTTGTCCATTTGGGTTTTGAGCATCTCCATGGATGGGGATTCTACAACCTCTTCAGGCAAGCCTCTCCAGTGTTTGACCATGCTCAAGATAAGGAAGTTTTTTCATACTATTTTTCAATGGAAACATAATTTAATAATCTGTATGCAGTTTGTACCCACTGCCTGTCATCCTGTCACCAGGTGTCAATGAGAGAAGTCTAGCTCTGTCTTCTTTACACACTCCCATCTGGTATTTACTGTGAGAATGAAATGTTACTTAGCATTTCACTGTTCAGGAGACAAGGATCTTGAGCCTAAATTAGTCCAACCACTAACCATTTGATATCACCCAACCCACACGTCATGTTTGGTGCTATACAAAATCAGGCTACCATCTTCAGAATTCAGAAATTATGTATGTATGTATGAATTATACAGTATCATGCCTGCACCATAAATCATGACTTGACACCTGCTTACTTGCTAGCCACTTATGACCATTTACTGGATTTGGAGACCAGAATTTTAATTTACGAAGGACAAAAAAGACAGCACTATCACAGCATGAAATGCACAACAAAGCAGTAGTTCCCCACTAGATAGCAAGTAAGGGTGCCTCACACATTTTTTAACTCTTATAAATGGCAAAGCACTAAAAATATCTATAAGGTCTAAGACTATTGCTCACCAAGGAATTTAAGCAGCAGAAACTAGCACAGCTGCTATCATGTGCTCCTGCACACTTTTGGCTGCTAATTCCCATTCACATCACCCTTTGTACCAGTGACAGCCCTTGGACAGCCATATGGGAGAAGGCTGGGATAAACCCAGCTGAAAACAAAACCAAACAAATAAATGGCTATTTTCAGTCTGATCCATTCTCCAAATTTATGAACAGCTACACGTGCTGAATGAGGGAGAATGACAATATGGGGAGGAGAAAAGAAGCTGGCACTGCATCCTACACAGACGTGCTAGGTTGAAGTATTCATTGAACATTTAATGTTCAAAGCTAAGCAGTGAACACAAGCTACTCAGCAAATAATATTGCATTCCTTAGGCACTGTACTCAGAATCAGATGGACTGGCCTCTGGAGATGCCTGCCCCTGTCCTGAGGGTAAGCAGAATCTAGAATGACTGAGATACAGCTACCTAATTTCTATGTATCTAAACTGACCAATATCTAGATGAGTAGAAAATGGCAGAAAAACAGATTTTGATTCTTACAGCACTTCAATCCCATTAACAACTGCCATTTGGAAAAAAAAAATTGTAGCATAGCTTACCATCACACTAACATCAAAAGGGTATCTATTTTCTGCATGGTCCACGATTTTTTTTCCTAAACCATATTTTACATCTATAAGCAATATGTTTCAGTGATGGGGTACTCTATTCCTCCCACAGGGCACGTAAATCCACAGTAGAAACATAGCCACAGTTCAGTTATAAATCACTTACATTTCTTCAGAGTCACTTTGTCACTTTGCTGTGCTGTGGGAAGGTCTTTTCCTTGTTGCTCAACTGGTCCTCCTTCCAAAAGTGTCTGTCACATCTATGGCAGATGAGGACAAAAGGTCCTTAACTTTCTCTTGAAGTTATCTAAGGATAAAAAGAGAAAGGAACACAGTAAGTGCAAGCACCCATATTGTGTTTTATTGCGAGGTATTACAACCACCTCTTTAAAACATACTTCAGTGTCATCCTTACACACAGGTATTATACACCCAAAAATCCCACACATTTCACATCTTTCTTTCTTTGTATGAGACATGGGAAGTAGTCACTACTCCTTGAGCAATCACCTGCTTCACTTCTGAGATTCATAATAACAAGATTGCATTTCTTTGAAAAAGCAAGTGTACAAGTTAAAAGACTATTTCACATTATTATTTATTTTGTACCACAAAGACACTCAATACTTTTGGCTGGGATCAAGCAGGAAACCACAATATGTTGAGCATAGCTTCACCATAAACCATCCTGCCTATCCAGTTTGACAAACATTCTAATCTGAATCTTCTGTTAAACAAAACAGCTCTATTGCATTACATTTTAATGTTCAGAAAGTGAGACCTGGGGCTTATTATAGCTAGGACTCACTGAAATTTCTTCATGAAAACGTAGAACTCACCATTCCATCACAGTCAAATCTATAAATTAAATGCTAAAAATTATTTAGGAAACAATAAATGACAAAGTGTAACATGTCATTTGCCACTGTATTAACCCCTATATTGAAAAGCGTGCTCCCCTCTCGTCCAACACAGAACACAAAAAACCAGAATTAATTAATACACAGGTTCAGAAGAGAAAAGATACAAGATCAAAGGTTTAAAACAGTTTCCATATATGAAGAAGAATTCAGTATGCCACCAATATCCAGACTGGAAAAAAAGCTGACTTAAGGAAGGGCATGATAGAAAACAACAGAAGTCTGAAGATGGAAAGACTGCACAGACATTGCATGTTCCCTATCCTTTGAACCCAAGAACTACCTCATAAAAGCCAGGTTCAGAAGAAAAATGGGAGTTTCTTCTCCACAAATTGTGTGACGGAACTGTGAACTTCTTCCCAAGGATTCTGTTTATGCAAGGAGGTTTTGTAAGTCAAGAGGAAGGTGGAGGTATCCTCGGAAGACAGCCATCTCTGGAGATAGATGACAGTCTAAGAGAACCACTGGTCTGAACCAGGATGACCAGTCCTATCTCCTTGTATATTCCCATATGTTAGTGCTAATTCAACAAATTTTATATCCATTTTACACTGATCTATTCACTACTCACAGTAATGAGAATTACTGCATTAGGTATACATGGAGTCTAGTCTTAGTTGCATTTGAAGTACAGGCTAGATCCTTTTGAACACCAAAGTGAAATCCCATGGTTCTCTGTACTTTACTATATGCTTAATAAATTTGATTGATTTTTCCAAAACACTATCACCACTGAAAAAAAATCAAATCCAATGAGGTAGCAAAGTCTTACTGTAAAGCAGCAGTAGCCTTCCTCTCCCCAGTCCACAGTCCCAAAGCAGCCAGGGCAGAGGACTACAAAGCAAGGTTCTGCTTCTCAAGTTGTTCACTGGTCTCATGGGTTTGAGTCTAACTTCATCCATATGTTCCCACTCAGTTCAACACATATAAATGCAGGTCAGCCCCTCCATTTCCCAAGTTTCATCTCAAAGTAAACCTTAAAAATCATATACTCTGTATTCCAATATCTTCTCTTTTGCTTTAATCTCTAGGATACAGCAGTGTTTCTGATTTATTTTGGGTAAGTGCAGATCAATTAAAATTCCTTCAGGGAAGCCTTCTGAACCAGCAGAAAGTGAATGACTGTCATCAGGAACAAACACTTCTGCTGTCATGGACTGGCATGTCACACTTTGGAGAAAAAACTATGTTAATTAATTCTATCCTTACCTACCAGGTGTACCAAAGGAATACAACCAGTCCTTTCTGCTGTCTTACTAGATACAGATCTTGTGTCTGTGGACTAAGTATCCCTATATGAAGAGCTGTGCATTGGCACATTATATGAAGAAGCAGCCTGTACTAGCACAAAAAAAACATAGCAGGACAGAAATAACTTTGTTCAGACATCAGTATGCAACCAAAATCCCTTTTGCAAGATGCATGAATTAATACCCTCAAATATCACCCACAACCCAGACATTTTCCAGTATATCTACACACGTACCTATTCATTAACACTCTTTTTAGACACTACAGTGAGGAATTTGTATAACTCACACTTTTTTGGCCAGTTGGAAATACTGGATCAAAGTATGTTTACTGTTCAATCTATTCCCCTCTCTGAAAAAGAAGGGACTGCTACAATGTTTCCTGTTTGCTTCCACAGCTTAAATGGCTTCACTGAGGATGAAAGGAAATTCACCATACAGCATGCTAATGATCAAAGACTCAGGCAACACTGGCCTATAGCAACTTTTTAGGCTACCTCTCCCTTCTATTATTTGTCCAGCTTTTCTGTTTAGAATGTTAAGGGTAGAAATACAACCTGACAGCTCAAAAGGTATTCAAGGTCTGTTTGATTCCCTTCACATCACTCTGATACTAACTATAAATCAGAGCAAACTGTACCAAACAAGAACCAAATGTTCCAGCACTGGTATATGAGCAAAGACAAGTCTCTTGAAAAATGACAAAATTTAGAGACATGGGTGCCAGGTATACTACAGAAGGTAAAATACTATTGCAGGATAAACCTATTGAAAACAATCTGACAGTAGCAATAACAATTCAGAATTATCATCACCACTACTTAAACACCACAAAAAAAAAAAAAAACCACATGAGAAAAGTGGCTACCTACTGGTTGTCAAATAAAAGCGCTGATTTTTACTCTTTCCACATGTGGCTTCCAGTTACCATGAACAAGTTTACAAAATCTCCCCAGGAGTATCATCTTGAGTCTCTCAAACAAGTGCACATGAACAGGAAAAAGTTGATACGCAATTATACTTATGAAGCATTAGAAATCAACAGCAACTTCAAAAAATTGTGTCAATTACAAATGCTTTCTTTTGAACCATTTGTCATATAATCTCACTTGAAGGTTAAATAACCATTCATGCCTGCTTTAAAAATTTCTTACATATATTCCTTAATTCAATTATACCTGGTAGAAATCCACTTATATCAAAGATACATGAATAACTTTTTACATTAAGAATTTCTTAGATTATGTTCTTTTTATTTCTGAAACAGCACAGTGATACAATTAACCTGCAATTTTAAGGACTCAAATTTAATTCAGAGTACATACATATTAATTTGGGATATTAAATCTACACTTGTGTGCAGGCTCAGACCATTCCCATAAATTACCTAAGACACAAAGTAAAAGCTACATATCATACTGTGATCTTATTAGCATAACAGTTACAGGACTTCTTTGGCAATTCATAAATATACAGCTGCATTACAAAGCCATCCTAAATAAGTGATGATAAAATACTTTATCTGTTGCATATTTTTAGAGTTTTAGAGTTAGAATTGCTAAAGAAAAATGCATTAGAGAAAAAAGTATTTGAGGACTACACAAGGAAGTTTCTTAATTCTTTTGGGATTAATATGATACAAAATTTCATTTTTGTAGATAAGCATCCTATTAATTTTACTTCCAATACCTACAGCATATTTGGTGCAACTAAGTAAAAAACCAGAGTAGAATGTGACCTGATATCATAGCATATGAAATCAAGGATTGGATTGGAGTTTTGATTTTGTTTTGCTTTAAGACTGAACAACATGTACTCTCATTTCTAATTGTATAGATTGCCTAATGCAGTATTATAATCATGTGTCTTTAGAACCATGTTTATCTAAAAGTATTTACCCAGATATCTAAAAAAACCTAGACTCACAAAAATAATTACTGCTTTGATAATAAATGCCAAAATTATTTTCAAGAAAGATGTATTAAAACAGGGACAAAAGAAATAAATACATCTGTATTGAAGTCCCTTCCAGCTGCTCTGTGGTATCATTGTCCTAATCTGGAAACAAGACAAACATTGAGTTAGCAGTTCTTCCCTTCTCCTACATAAAAAATAAAAGGAAGGTAGGACAAATTAGGTATCTACAGGTAAAAGGGTCATTCTACTATGCATCAGTGCCACGAAGATAATGAAAAGTCTTTCTCATGTTTTTATATAGATATCGTACAGGACATATGAAAAGGCATCCTAGAATTAGTAATATTTTAAAATCTATTCCTCTCATCAGTTGTATCCCAAATTCTTCAAATCTTCTGAATTTGGCTTATCATTAAGATTTAGAGAAATATTCCTCGTTTCTCTTGCAGATTTAGTCAATACTTATTTAAAATATATTGACCAGAAATACAACCTTAAATTGAATTGCAAGAGAATAGAATGGCATGAAAGCAAAATAAAACTTATGTCTAAATAATTCCTTGCATGGCTACCTGTCCATCATCCCAAAGGAAATGATATATACCAGATGAATGACAGAAGACATAAGCTGACTAGCTCTTCCAGGCAATCCACCAACCAAGATATAATGTTGGTCAAACACATGTAAGTCTTGATAAATGGCTGTTAAAACTAAAATCCAAGCTTGGGAAGGTTCAATAGATAGTGGTAAATTTGTATAGTGCTTCTTGTGGCAAATATGTCTGGGAATATTTTACTCCAGTCATCACCAGTGGGAAAAGTGCCTCCTTTCCCTCATACTCCTTCCAGCTCTATCTGTCCTTCTCTTTCTTACATTAGGCTGTCATTCAGCATAGGGATATGCAGCAGGAGCTGAAGAAATGAATGTTGAGCACTTCAGTGTGGTTCCAGACAGGGAGCATCACATGCAATTCAGCCCATCAGGGTTATGCAATCAACATCAACACCAACACCAATGTGATGGCAGCAGGAATTCAAGTTTGGTTTTTAATCCACCTCATTGCTAACTAGTTTGGACCCCTGTCACTCGAGAGAAGGCTACTCATTAATGTCCAGTACTGTTTTGGTGCTGCAGCACTCCTGTAATACTGGCAAGGGTGTAAAAGGTTTTTGCAGAGAGAAACATGTGAGAAATTCTGTAAAATTCCATTTGTCTTTTT